TTCTGATTGTCAATAATGATGTTTACATCTAAAAAATTAAGTCTGTCGTCATCCCCAATCTCAATCGTAAATTTTAACCGTTCATGCATAGAATTGAAAACATTCAAAATTGTATCCAAGAGTTCAAAGGGAGCAGCCAATAGAATGTGATCAACATATCTATAATAAAACAGAAGATGGCATGGTAATTTTTTCAATGCCGCTTCTTCTATATCCTGCATTACCAAATCTGCGATACTAGGGGAACTCGGTCCACCCATTGGTGTACCAAATACCTGCTTATATATTAAGTTGTTAAAAGTGAAAAACGTTGAGTCGAGCAACATTCAGATAGCATTTAAGAACTCAACTTTTGGTATCTTGGTTTTTTCTGAAATGTATTGCCATCTTTTTGAAATGCTCTCTATTGCCAAGTCTGTTGGAACGTTTGTGAATAATGAAACTACATCAAGAGAAGCTAATTTACAATTCTGCTCTAGATGTATACCATTTAGATTTCTGACTAAATGGAAACTGTTATTCACATGGCTCGGAGCTGATGGTATGTTCTTATTGATAATATCATGTAGATAGTAAGACAAATTATATAAAGGGCTATTAATGAATGATACAATTATTCTGAGCGGATTATTTGGTTTGTGGATCTTTGGCAAACCGTAAGCTCTAGGTATCACACCATCCGTAGTAAGTAAAGTTTTGTATGTGTGATCGCTTATAAATTCATTCTTTTTCCATCTAGCAAGAAGACAACGTAATTCTGCAGTCAATTTTTTAGTCGGATCTTTTTCAAGTGTGCAATAAGTATTGGTATCAGATAACATCTCTTTCATTCTTCGAGTGTACTCAATCTTATTTAAGACAACTGTAGTATTCCCTTTGTCAGCCCTTGTTATTAATAAATCAGGGTTATTTTTAATAATTTTTTTTGTTAATAATATCCATTTTTTAATTAATTTTTCGTTATCGTTTAGTGGCGGAAAATTCGTGTTAAAAAGTCTGTTGATAATACCTGTAGATTGATTTCTAATGCTATTCATTACGGTAATATTATTTCTTTTACATTTGTATAAATTATTTTCAATGTGTTTAAAGATCGGAAGAGCACACGTCTGAACTCCAGTCAC